TTAGGGATTAATAGAGTATTCTGATTCTGATCTAAATACATTAAAACTACTTTATATCAGGTGTACAGAAATAGAGGAGCACAGAAAATCCTCTTAGCTTCTTCCAGCTTTTTTACCATTAAACTAATATGGCATTGTATTTAATCCTACATGGTGAATTTTGCTCTGAAAGTAATTACAAGCAAACAATTTATTCATAGGTGGAGGGTAGTTTGATATCACACCTGCCATGGCTCCAGTGACTGCAACGTGGCACAGTTGTGTCCACTGAAAGGCCCTCTTCCTGGCACGCACTGGAGCATGTCATCAAGAGAATGTGCAAAAGCATACACAGCTTTATACACATTGTACTCAGGCCGCAGGTTAGAAATGTCCAAAAATACAGTGTCTACTTTTTCTAGATCTTCCTTTCCAGTGCATAATGCACCTCCACCTTCCAGCCAGCCTGGTGGAGCTGGTGCAAATCTGCACTGAAATGTGAATTCCCAAAACTGATTCACCTGAAATATTTAGATCTTATAAATATGAATTATGATAATATAGGGTTCTTGCACATACCATAGTAAAGTATAAATACTCACCATGCTATTCCCATAGCTATTGTTGTGATGTAGATTGGGACGTGTTTTTAACAGGAATTCTCTGAGCCCTGGTATTTCCCCATGACGAATGGCAATACCCAGTGTACCACCCAGGTATGGCATAAGCTGAGGTGTTTGGAGCACAGCAGCTGCTGTCCAGGCTTCACTGGCCACCCACTGTAGGCCAGTTACATTTTGCCTCACTACCTGTGCATTGTATTATACCAAATGTATAAAGTGATACTGGAATAGGGACATTATTATGCCATTCAAGTAGTTGCTGATCTTGGAAAATACCTCCAGGTGACTAGCTTTCTTTACTCATTCACACAAACACACGACATGTTTTACACAATGTAATAAATGAAATCTTAGTAATTAGTAAAAATTTAATTGTTTTATATCCGAACCTCTTCCATGAGGTTTATCATGCCACTCTCATGTGCAAAAACAATGACAACTCGAGCGGTAGAGGTTTTCATCACATTCACAATCCTCCAGAGTTCATCTGTGTCTTTGTCCCAGGGTAAAACCTCGAAGTAAGCAAGGCAACCTTCACCAGACAGACTGAGCTCAGATTGTAAGAATCTTGCTGCATGAAGTCCATAATCATCATCACTGACGAGCAGACCTGCCCAAGTCCAGCCAAAATGTTTTAGAATGTGAATCATAGCACGAACCTAAGTGAATACAGATTAAAACATTATTGCAAAGACAAGGAAAATCTTTAAATCTATAACCATTATCTTCACTGAAGCCACACAATAATAAAATAGCGTGTAATAGCACAGTCTTGACGCACAATAATGAAAGATTACTGAAAGATTTTCACCTGGAAGACATCACTTGGGATCGTCCTAAAGAAGGATGGATATTTTTGATGGTTACTCAGGCAGGAACACGTGGAAAAGTAACTCACCTGTGAAAATTACAGACTGTATATTGTAGAAATATGTAAAAACCTAAATACTGCAGCTTTTCAATTTTGTTGTGTAAACTAAGTCGGTTTTGACAAGTGGCTTTAAAATTGCAGTTACATTAAAATGATCCAGCAACACTGTTCCTTGCTAAGCAGATGACTTACCATAGGTACTCTGTACAAACCTAAAATGCTTGAGATAGCAATAGAGTGTGCCGAGGGAGAATCACCAACAATCCCTAAGACTGGAGGATTTCCAATACATGTATTATCTAATATAATTTTTTCCTCTTGACCACTGGCTAAAGACAATGCTGCACGAAATGCAATTCCAAGGTTGACGCAGTTATCATAAAGAGTGTATCCCAGAGTGACATTAGGTAGCAGATTGGAGTTGCTGTTGATCTCATCAATAGCAAAAGCCATGGTTTGTGCCAGTCTAAATCCTAGTTCATAAAAACTAAAAAAAAGAAAAAAGAGAGAGATAATTATTGAATAATACAGTAATACAGCAGAATACTTGGAAAACTTATTGCAAAAATTAAAGATATATTTTAATTTAAAAAAACAAAACAAAACAGATGCTTCAGCCAAGAAACATATTTTTTTTCACAAATGTATTAATACACAAAGTATACTTTGGTAATAAAATGCATATTGACATTGGCACTGATTTTCCCCATTTTCTTCTTTCTTCTTGTTTTCTTCCCACCCTGTCATACTTACCCATGGCATTTAGGCTGTTGGGGGTCTGAGATAAAAGACAGGTCAGGAACACTTCTAAAAAAGTGGACTGGAAAGAGTCCACCCAGAATGACATCTCCAGTTTTTTTATTCCCATTTAGATTAAATTGTCCCTGTAATTGACAGGAGGGAGAGATGATATCAGAAGATGATACAGCATAAGAAAAAGAGAAATAAAGCAAAATGAGCAAAATGGTTTGTAATAATAACCACATGATAGATTTCTAATTTTCTGAGTCTAGTAATTAGGTTTTATTGTCTTGTCACTCCCTTTTGTTGGAAAGTGTTGACTAATCTTGCACACCACCCATCTGGGAAAAAGACGTAGCAGGGGGAGGGTCTAAAATATACTACATTTCCTGTCCAGTGCAAACACTATAAGGGAATTAGATGGATGCCAAGAACTTTGTTTTTTGTGCATTTAGTTAATTTCATTTTGATAGATTTTTATTTTCAGTTTTAAAAAATTAATGAATATTCTTAATAAGCCCAAAAGGTTTATGGTGAAAAAAAAACGTTTTAAAAAATCATCTAGGCCAAATTTAGCTGTCTTTAACAGTAAATCTTTCATATTATAAGAATTTTTTTAAAATGTTTTTCTTGTGACACAAAAGGACCCAATTCACACAGTGTTGCCAGACAAGTAAATGTTTATTGACATAGTTTTTCATGATTTCTGCTTTTGCAGCTCTCCAGTTGCCTCCACTCTAGCTCAGCCCAACACCGCTCTCTCATTGGGCCCCCACACTCTATTCAAATAGGGAGGTAAGATTAGATGATGGCAATCAGCTGTGTAGGTCAGTCTCCACCCCTCCCCTGCACCCAAACACAAACCACACCAAAAAACAGGCAACATTTACTTATATAGTTTTTTTTTTTATTCCACAAAAGAGAATCCATATCCACAAATTACTGTTTTAAAATATAGAACTTTACAGCATTAGAAAGGATATTTAGAGCCTGGTATCCATGCTCAGTAATCCAGCTAAAGAAATTCCAGAAATTTGATTCTGTTCATCTGGAGGTAGCATTTTCATTGTGGGAAACATTTACTTGCACTGCCCGCAGGTTGGGGAAACCTGCAGTCAGTGGAAACTGAGGAAGTCATTTAGATGAGTGATGAAACATTTTTCTCATTGAAAACACTACTTCTAGATGAAAAGATAAAATTCCTTTCTTTGGCTACGACTACATCAAGCTGGTACATGAGGAAACAGCACATGAGATGGAAGACTACAGGAACCACCTGAGATACAGCCTCAGATGCAGAAAGAGCAACTTCACTTTCAGAGTTATGGAGACAAAATTGTGGATGTGGAAGCACAGCAAATGGAAATTTCAACCCATCTCAACAATGCAAAACCCCCAGTGTCTAATATCAGCATTGAGGAGACACCAAGATCATCATCCATACATGTGTAGGTGCACATGTCTTGAAGCATGCTCAATCATCCAGGTAAGTAAATTTTAATTCTGTTTCTTTTCTGGAAATAGATTTTCAGTAGAAGAAACGTTTCGTCACTCATCCCAGTGATTTCTTCAGTTAACTGCAGGTTTCCCAAACCTTATAAACAATACCTTTGCTCAATGACTGAAACTAGCCCACTGAATGAACAATGGGCTGTGAGATCAGTTTAAAAACCCCAAAAACCACAGAGACGAATTTGAAGTTGAGATGAATTTTCAGAGAAATTTCAGAGAAAATTTGTCTTAACTGTTCTGATACTCCTGATACATAGGGGGTCACTACAGGTTTTCACTTAGGCAGCAGCTGTCCTTCTCTCCTGGATCAGCTGGAGCTTTCTTTAGGCACCTTTTCTAGCTTTTACAAATGTCCAGCAGGGAAAACATTTACTCAGGGCCTTCTTATATGATGTTCTTCTGCTTCCCTGGCCGATGTGTCTGTGCGGATGGTGTTGGCTCTATGTTGTAGCGTCCTGATGACACCCAATATGCTCCAATGGATAATGAGAATCAAACATTAAATACTGATCTTTATGCACAGGTTTACGGCACACATCAGCTTTTAAATGTCCCTCATTACAGATGGAAATCTCACAATCTAACAAGACTAACCTGCAATTTTTGGGGTGTAGGTGTAGGTGCTGAAACAAACAGACGGCCATGAGAAACATTTCTCACTACTTCATATCAGCAGTACTTACGTGCCCCTGAAATGAGACCATGTAGTATTCACAGAAAGAGCGTGAAAGATTGTTTGAGCAGGACAGACTTGAAATCTCCTTCCTTTATCTACTTCACATGAACATCAACTTGAGTGATATTCATGTCCACCAAACTTTACACTTAGAAGGATGCATCCATTGAACAATGAATGTTAAATAGAAAGCACGGGGTGTATAAATGGGTGTGAATGTTTGAATCAGGCAAGTTGCATTAAGCAAATCAGGTAGAATGGAAAAGCACTATATAAGAACCAGATAATAGCTGTGTAATTTACGCCACTGCTTTGCATTGCAGTTGGTAATTTAAGGGTTGGTTAGCTGCTTGGCCATGGAAACCTATTCCATGAAGGTCTCTACCCAATGTTCTTCAGCTAATTTGAAGGCCACATGGAATTTGGAGTTCTGTAGTGATTGACTCTGCAAAAAAGTTGGCAACTTCTGTCCACTATGCTCCTGTCCACTTGCTGACGCCACTCTGTGATTTTACATGACCTACCACTTCATGGCTGAATTGCTGTTATTCCCAATCACAGTAACTTTGTTTTAATACCACTCAGCTTGTTGGATAGGATGCATCCTATCATGGTGCTACACTGCAATTCCCTGAGCTCTAGAAAGTGATTCATTCTTGAGTTTGCTTGAGTTTACTTGAGTTTATACGTCTGTGGCCATGGAAATGATTAAACACCTGAATTCAGTATTTTGATTTTGATTCGTGAGATAATACTTTCAGTTATACAGAAAATAAAAAGATACTTTAATACATGCTCACTGAAGTCCACTTAGTGTGGCTTTAAAAAACTAAATCAATACAAAACCCTAAAATATTCTGATTATATAGCAATTTTGCAGTCAAAGACAAATGAAATAGGGAATAGAATTTTTAAACATGACCTTTCTGAGACATTCATGATAAAACCTGCTGTACATAAATTGAAATTTTGATGTTTATTTTTCCTTTTATACATCTTGTATGGTGGTTAAACCACAAGAATAATCATTCTTCTGTTATATTGATTTACCAGTGTATATGAAATGCATTATATGCCCTGCCCCCTTCTTATTCTTTTTCCCTAATGGGTGGAGTGCAAGATTAAGTGACACAACATTTCAATAAAAGGGATTAGTAAAGCAATGAAACATAATTACTAGGCTCAGAAAATCAGAAAGCTGTCATGTGCTCATTATTACAAACCAATTTGCTCTTGATCATTTTGCTGTATTTCTACTTTTCTTATGCTGTATCATCTCATGTATTTCCCTTCTGTCAGTTACAGGGACAATTTCATCTAAATGGCATGCATAAGAGTGGGGATGTCGTTTTGGGTGGACTGTTTCCAATTCACTTTTTTAGAAGCGTTCCTCATCTGTCTTTTACCTCAAAGCCACAACAGCCTACATGCCATGGGCACGTTTAACAGATTATCAGTTTAATTGTTGCCATTCGTTTAGTTACTACTAGCTTTGCCATATATTTCCAGGGATCCTGCTTGATTTTTAAGTAATATAATATATAGATTTTTAAGCATCTGTTGTTATTTTTTTAAATTAAAATATATCTTTAATTGTCGTCATTAATTTTCTGTAATTTTTTTGTTAGTTTTGCAATAAGTTTTCCAAGTAGTCTGCGGTATTACTGTATTATTCAATAATTATCTTTCTCTTTTTTCTTCTTTTTAGGTTTTATGAACTAGGATTTAGGCTGGCACAAACCATGCTTTTTGCTATTGATGAAATCAACAGAAATTCCAACCTGTTACCAAATGTGACTCTGGGATACACTTTTTATGATAACTGCGTTGAACTTGGAATTGCATTTCGTGCAGCATTGTCATTAGTCAGTGGTCAAGAGGAAAAAATTATATTGGATGATACATGTGTAGGAAATCCTCCAGTCATAGGGATTGTTGGTGATTCTTCCTCTACACCTTCTATTGCCATCTCCAGCGTCTTAGGTTTGTACAGAGTACCTATGGTAAGTTTTCAGTTTAACCATAGCATGTTATTTTTGTTTATATTAACTTAATTGTAAATTTAATGTCAATAATAATATACAATATACAGTCTGTATTTTTCACAGGTGAGTTATTTTGCCACATGTTCCTGCCTGAGTGGCCGTCAAAAGTATCCATCCTTCTTTAGGACGATCCCAAGTGATGCTTTCCAGGTAAACGTCACCAAAATTAAAGAAATGAAAAATAAAGAACTAGTTTTTTTAAGGATATATCTGATGAATACCTGTTTACCAACAGAATACATAATGATGTGCTGTAAAGCTGATGAAAAGAAATGCTAAAGAAAGATTTTTCTAGCCTATGCAATAATGATTTAATCTGTATTCACTTAGGTTCGTGCTATGATTAACATTCTCAAACATTTTGGCTGGACTTGGGCAGGCCTGCTGGTCAGTGATGATGATTATGGATTTCATGCAGCAAGAGCCTTACAATCTGAGCTGAGTCTGTCTGGTGAAATTTGCCTTGCTTACGTTGAAGTTTTACCTTGGGACAAAAGCACAGATGAAGTCAGGAGGATCGTGAATGTCATGAAAAAATCCACAGCTCGAGCTGTCATTGTCTTTGCACATGAGAGTCGGATGATAAAGCTTATGGAAGAGGTCTGGCTTTAAAACAATTTAATTATTACTAATTTAAAAGATCACTAAGTGTAATACGTATCTTTCATATTTATGTGAATGTGTATAGAAAACAAATCACACTGAATTATTTTGGCAGACCAGAAACTAGTAGAATTTCATGATGATATTATTTTTTTAAATTTCAGTATCACTGTAAACTTTTGATTTAATACAATGCACAGGTAGTAAGGCAAAATGTGACAGGCCTACAGTGGATGGCAAGTGAAGCCTGGACATCAGCTACTGTACTCCAAACCCCTCAGCTTATGCCATACCTGGGTGGTACACTGGGCATTGCTATTCGCCGAGGAGAAATACCAGGGTTCCGGGAGTTCCTGTTACAAATACGTCCTGACCTATATCACAACAATAGCTATGGGAATAGCATGGT